TACTGCTCGTAAACCGGTTGTATTAACCACAGATATCTGGAAGAATGGAGAAGGGGTGTTTGAGGGCACGTAGAGGAGGAGTTACAAAGCAAAGCAGAAATTCCCTGGATTGTGACCTCAAAACCCCAAACTCCACCAAACTCCTCTGGATGACTCTGGCAGTGTGCACTCTGCTCTGGCATAGCCTGCCAGGCTCCAGGTGACTCACTCTGCTACAGGATATTCCAGGAAAGTACACCAAAAAAATAGGTAGACACTTGTTCCAGTGTCAGCCACACAACACACGTCCCGGATCCACCGCTGCTGTTCAGATAAAGTTCCTTTGCAAAAAAAATTTGATTGTGAGCTCCATATTTCTGAGGATAAACACATGGTGCCAAGGGACTGTCAGCCACTGGACTCCTGTCCTGCCTCGGGCTTGGAGACAGAGTGGTTGCCATAATGGTTGACATGAAGGGAACAGCCACTCTCCCAGGAAGGGGGAACATACTCGCCTTCACACTCTTAAAAATCTAGCATGTGGTCCCTAAACGTTTGTCTCAGAAGGACATTTCAAATGATTTCCTGAGTGGTGCCTCCCTCTGGGGACAAACATGCAAAATAATAATTGATGGGATGATAAGAGGTGTCATGACTTAGCAGCAGGTAGAGCTGTCAGCAGGTGTAGACAAGGAAGTCAGGACTGAGTATGGCTCTGTGGAAACTATAAATCTGAGTGTGCAGATAACTCCTTGTGTAGTAAATACCTGACTGATGAAATAATGGCTTTGACAGAAGAGGACGAGGGAGGGGTGGCATGTATGTGCAGGGATGGATGAAAGTCTTGATGCAGAATACAATAATGATGCAAAAACTTATAACCAGCAGTCACAAAGGCTCCCAGGGCCTTCTCCTGCCCTCACCCAGCTGCCTGGGCAGTTGGTTTATTATTTCAGAATCTAACTGGCCCCACTTGGAGCTCTTCCATAGGATTCATTCTAATCTAGGTCCAATGATATCTTACATAGCCTTAACACTCAAGGTCCCTTTGACTCAGAGGTGAGATAAGGCTGTCACAGGATGATGGCTTTATGGTTGAGGTGCTGTTATTAAAATTAGTACTGTGATAATTAATTGATTTCTTTTTCTAACTTTGTCAAAGGTTCTTGCTGCTCTTAGACAGGAGCCTTAGAATTTCCTTTGTCAGTTTGGGAGAAAACATTTTGATCTAGTTGGTCAGAAATAGAATTGTGACCTTGGGATGTGGAAGACACTTCAGAGGGACCCTGTTGAGGGCGACAACACCTCCCAGGCAAACGTGAAAATTCTTTACAGGGGAACTAAGAGGAGAAGAATAGGAGTAGTTGCCTCCAATGGAAGTCCTGTATGGAGATGGAGAGCTCATGGAGGTAAAGAGATTTGGCCCAGGCTATGGAGAATTTAGCCCTTTGATTGCATTTAGGACCAGACAGAGGCTTGCACCGACATCTGAACTTACAGCAGATATTTGGCTGCTCCACACAGGGCCCCCAAGCCAACACTAAACCTGAGGCTGCCCCAGCACATGGGAATGCTGAAGGATCACCACAAGGATCCCAGAGTCCAAACCACTGTCCTCACCCTCTGCGGGAAACCGGTGGGCAGGTGACCTCCAATGCTGCTATTTATTTTGGGGGAGTTCATCCACCAAGACATGGAGATGCATCAGCCTGAGGTCCTGCCAAACCTCTCCTCACTGAGTTAGTTCTGAGAGGTGTTTCATAACTTGCAAACAAGGAAAATACCTGTTAAATTTGACTGCTGTGAGTGAATTTTCAAGTCAACAAAGCACCTATCTCCTTATCCAGTGATGCCACAACAACCCTGATCACTGACTGAACAGGCAAACTTTTTTTTGGTTGAGTTAATGCAAAATGGAAGGGTTCTGTGCAAGGTCACCTGTGGCTATGACATAATCCCCACAGCACCGCTATTCTGTGCCTGAAGGAACATGGATGGCCTCTGTGGTCAGGAAGAGCTGGATGCCCACACACAAAAATGAAAGAGAAATGAATTAGGACTAAGTCCTAAGTGTGGTTTGTCTTTGGTTGGCAGTCAAAAGGGCCTGTCAGGCAGAGCTGAAGGCAAACAAAGAGAAATGGACCATGGCAAGTGCTTCCAAACATCTTTGAAATGAAGATCTCAGAAGACTTGTAGCAGCTGGTGAAGTCCTTGTGATCCTGAAGCACGAGCAGGCCCAGTCAGCACACTGGAGATAGCTGCCAGGCAGGAAATGCCGGCAGGAAAAACACAGATGGGAAATGTGATGTGGATCTGATTCAGAAGGGAAGCGGGAAAGAGAAGGGGAGGCAACTGGAGGCAAAATGCTGACAGTCATGGCAGGGAGGAGCAGAAGAGCTGAAGGAACCAGTTCCCCTGCCCCAGCAAAAAGCCACTTGTTGCCCAAAGGCTGGCAAGGAACCTTCTTCCTCCCCTTCTTGTTGCAGGGCAGGAGCAGAGGCTGCAGACACAGGACCGTGTTGGCATCACTGCACCTTGAGAAGAGCCAGAAGGGAGAAGACAGAACCACAGCACTTCAAACCTGTCCCCCTGCCCTGTCAAGTGATACACTGGGAACACCAGCAGCCCAGGCTGGTTCTCCAGAGCATCCCCTGGCACGCACAGAAGCCATTTTCACAGCAAGACAGACCATGTGGTGGTCGAAACACATATTTTTTGGGGCTGCCCAACACACCTGCCATCAGCCTGGTCTGAGTGATGCCCACAGAGGAAATCCTGGCTGCATGCAAGGAACCAGCATGGCTTTGGCAATGCAGCCTGCAACTGGGCTCCAGGAAATGTAGGTAGTTCAAATGGAGAGAAATTATCCAGAGCCTGTGAGAAATCTCCCTTGAGAAAGGAGGAAAAAGGCTGCATGGGTATGACCAGCTTCCCATGCATCCCCAACCATGATTAATTCTAGGGAAGTCTGCTTATTCAGGGTTTTAGCTGTAGATCAGCAATATTGTGGAAGAGAGTCCGTGAGGAAAGCAGGATTTAGTGCTGCAGAAGATGATTCCTGTGACAGCTCCCAGTGGAGACCTTGACACCCTGCAATGCACTTGGGGAGCAAAACTGACACAAGAACCTGAAGGACTTGGATCACAGCAAGAGCCTTGAGTTCCCAGTGGAGCTCCCAGTCCATACCTCCAGTGTTTCTTCAGATTTAGGGAGCCCAACAGCCCACAGCGTCCAGCTGTGTGGTGCTGTGTGCAGGATTTCATGGTGAATCCCACACAGATAATTAGTGTGGTAAGTCAAGTCTGGAGGCAAACACATTCTGAAAAGGAGAGGCACAAGCTGGTGCCTTGAGAAAACAACCATATCCAAGAAAAGATGGCAATTCCATAAAAGACAAATATTGCCACTTCAATGGATGTGGTGGGAATTGCATTGTTGTGTAAACACTGAGTAACATGTTTTGTCATAGCTTCCCTCTCACATACACACATACGTCCCCTGCCCTCAGAGTAACCACAGGAGCGGCTCACAGGCACTGATTTGATGCTGACTCTGACCCTGATAAGTCTTCAGGGAATTATGCTGAAAGGGGAAAAAAAAAAGCATCAGTCCTCATGTGACTGGGAGGTGAAACATTGTTACAGGGAAACTAAATTCATAGATACACCCATTCATGCAAGGAAGAGGAAGAAATAATAGTAGAAACACAGGCTATTTTTAGCTGGTTCTGGCAACTTTGCATAAAAAATTCTGTATATTTTCTATTTTTTCAAGGAAGTCAAACTTGGAAAGCTTTCAGCTGCAGAATGTTCTTAGAATGCTCTTCTCTCTGATGAGCAGCAACAGGACCTGAGGGAAAGGCAGGAGCTCTGTCAGGAGAGGTTTAGGTTGGATATTGGGAAAAGGTTCTTCCCCCAGAGGGTGGTCGGGCACTGAACAGGCTCCCCAGGGCAGTGGTCATGGCCCCAAGGCTGACAGAGCTCAAAAAGTGTTTGGACAACACTCTCAGGCACAGGGTGGGATTGTTGGGGTGTCCTGTGCAGGGACAGGAGCTGGACTTGTTGATCCTTGTGGGTCCCTTCCAACTCAGGATGTTCCATGATTCTATGACACTGGAGGGGATAATCTTTTTGAGATCTTTACCAACTCCTTTTGAGTGGAAAACCTGTCATTCCCCAAAACCAGAACCCCTGAAAATTGCACTTTTTTCCCCAATAAACCATTTTTGCAGCTGAGACAACCACATTCCTATGATGCCATGTCCAGGTAAGCCCACAGATCAGCATTTTATTGGATTTTAGTCAAAGTGCAGGGCGCGGTGTTGCCACCAGCATGGCCTGAAGCTCGGGCTGGGGCTGGATCTGGATGTGGGGCTGGAGCAGGGGCCAGGGCCTGGAGCCAGGGCTGGAGCAGGGGCTGGAGCTGGAGCTGGGCTTGGAGCTGGGCCTGGAGCTGGGCTTGGAGCTGGGCCTGGAGCTGGGTCTGGAGCTGGAGCAGGGGCTGGGGCTGGAGTTGGAGCTGGAGGTGGGAATGACCCTGGGGCTGGAGGTGGAGGAACTGGGGTTGGAGCCTGGAGCTGGGTCTGCAGGCAGGGCTGGGGCTGGAACTCAGAGTTGGAGCCAGGACCTAGAGCAGGGGCTGGAGCTGAAGGCAGGGCCTGGACCTGGAGCTGGAGCAGGGGCTGGGGCTAGGCCTGGAGCTGGGAATGGTCCTGGAGCTGGGAATGGCCCTGGAGGAACGGGGGTTGGGGCCTGGAGCTGGGGCTGGAGCTGCAGGAGCTGGGGTTGGGGCCTGGAGCTGGGGCTGCAGGCAGGGCTGGGGCTGGAGCTCAGTGTTGGAGCCAGGGCCTGGAGCAGGGGCTGGAGCTGAGGCCTGGAGCCGAGGTTGGGGCTGTGGCTGGGCCTGGAGCCGGGGTCGGTCCCCGGTCCGTGTCGCCGTCCCGTCCGTACCCGCTCGGTGCCCGGGGGGCGGCGCCGGCCCCGGCAGGGGGGGCGGGGGCCGGGGCAGGGTCGGCCCCCCCGGCGGCGGCCCTTGGACCCGGTGCCGCGCAGAGCCCGAGCCATGGCGGCGGCGGCGGGGCAGAACATCGCCGTGGTCGTGCACCGAGCCGGGGACCTGCGGCTGGTACGGCCGGGGCGGCGGGGCCGGGCGGGAGCGGGGCCGCGCTCGAGGGGCCGCGGGGCGGGGGGGGCCCGGCGGCAGCTCCCGCGGGTCTCGGGGCTGAGCCCCCGCACTCGGGGGTGTCCGGCCAACCCGGTCCCTCCCGTTCTCCCCCTCTGGTTCCCCCCCGGTGCCGGGCTGCGAGCGGGGAAAGGCAGCGGCTTCCACGCTCCTGGGGGTGGGGGTGACCCGGGGGGCGCAGGCCCCCTAAATTCCGGTGTGCCCCGTGGTTGGGGCGCCCCCAGCCCCGCTCCCTGTATGGCAGCTTCGGGCTCCGCACAGCGGTACAGGGAAAGGAAAACGCACCTGCCCTCGTGTGCCTTGAAGGTGAAACATTCTTGCCAGAGAAATAAATTCGTGGATACACCCATTCATGCAAGCAGGAGAGCGCAATACTGTTAGAAGCACGGTCTGCTTTCAGATGGTCCTGGCAACTTTGCATGACAAATCCTGTACGTTTTCTGTTGTTTTTCCAAGCTTGGGAAGCTTTCAGTTGCAGAATGCTTTTAGGGGACACAAGCCATTCTCATAGCTGAGACAAGTGCTCCCGGGGAGCAGGGATGGAAGGTGGTTGTAGCTGCTTTGGGCTGTCAGAGCCCAGGTGAGCAGCAGAACAGAGGTCTCAGAGGGAGCAGGTGCTGCAGGACCCCCTCGCTCGGAGTGTGTGTGTGTAGGGGGGTTATTTTGTACTTTTAAAGTACTTCAGGCTCATTCTGCTTCTGTCACTGGGAACACTTGGCTCTTCCTGGCTGCTGAATCATCACAGTGCTGCTTGGGGATCTGTGTTTGCCAGTTTGACGAGTGCCAAATGGGGGAAGGAAGATTTCCATGGGCAAACATTGGCAGGACACACAGTCCTGGCAGGAGGGCTCTTGGGAGCACACAGACTTTGGATACCCACAGTGCCTCGTTTGGAGGATGGTTATCAGGGATTTTTCACCATTCCCACCCAGCCCAAGCCGCATGTGCCAGAGTCTGAGTGGTGTCTGTGGGGGTGGTTCCTGTGCAGCTCCCAGGCACCTTTGACACAACTGCACTTTCACTACAAGCACGTAGAGCCTGGGCCTGGAGCCTGACTACCAAAAGAAATAAAAGGGGTTGAGGATTGAGGTGGTCCCTCTACTTGAAGAAATGTTTTCAAACTCCTGTGATTTGTGACACTCATGAGGTGGACACTGACTCCATCACATCTGTGTTGCTGGTCCCTAAACTGGATTACACCCACATGTGTGAGTTTTCCTTGGGATGTTTGACCTTGGAGCTGGTCACCAGTGCCCCCCTGCCTCACTGGCAGCCCCTTGGTGTCATCCTCCTGGGCTTCCCTAAAGTTTCTTTGCCACAATGTGGGTGGTGCTCACTGTATTGACCCACTGATCACCGAAGGAGTCTCAGCAGTGAGCTCTGAACTTGTTATTTGTTATTGATACCTAAAGCTGGGTGAGACCATTTTCCCGCAATTCCCACACTTTTCTTGATTCTTGGACAGGTTTCCCATGGGAGAGTCACTGTGACCCCTGCACTATGTGAAAACGCATTGACTTTGTTTTTATTGACTCTCCTTTTGCCCTTGGGTGGTTGCCACAGGCTCCTGTTTGGTGCCTGCTGAGGATTTATTGGTTTTATGCTTGTACCATGACCTGTCTTTCCCTGTCTCCTTTCACAGAAAACATTTGCTGCATTTTCTTTACCAGTCACAATTTCTGAACTTCTCAGTGAACACCAAACAATAGCAGAACTCGTGTCTTTGGTGTTCTCTGGTTTGGTCACTCCTATTTTCTACAAATCAGGCTGGAGGATTCACTTCTCACCACGGTGTCTGGGTTTTTTTGGGCACAGCTGTAACTTAAAAAAAAAAGTATTCTTTTTTTTTTACACACCCCCATCTTCAGCTGGAAGTTGGCTTTATCTCTTACCGTGGACTATTTTGTTCAGTCTGTGGTCTGTACCTCTGGTGTGTCACCAGATCAAGTGCTTATTGCATTTTCTGTGTAAGAGAAAGACCTCTTTTAAAAATAATGCTCTGGGCTGTGTTCCTCAGTGGGACATAACAACCCTCCCACATATTAAAATTGCAGATACAGGTCTGAACCCAGAACACAACAATCATGCAAAAACTTAAACGTTTGCACAAAGGCTCCCAGGGCCTTCTCCTGCCCTCACGCAGCTGCCTGGGCAGTTGGCTTATTATTTCAGAATCTAATTGGCCCCACTTGGAGCTCTTCCATAGGGTTACTGAACTTCATCCTAATCTAGGTCCGATGATAGATATCTATCACTATCTTACACAGCCCTAACATTCAAGATCCCTTTGACTCAGAGGTGAGATAAGGCTGTCACAGGATGGTGGCTTTATGGTTGAGGTGCTGTTATTACAGTTAGTATTGTTTTTTAATTGATTTGATTTAATTAATTTAATTTAATTAATTGATTTTTTTTCTAACTTTGTCAGAGGTGCTTGTTGATCTTAGACAGTTTCTTTTGCCAGTCTGGGAGAAAACATTTTGATCTAGTTGGTCAGAAATAGAATTGTGACCTTGGGATGTGGAAGAAGCTTCAGAGGGACCCTGTTGAGGGTGACAAAACCTCCCAGGCAGACACAAAACTTCTTTACAGGGAAACTAAGGGGAGAAGAATAGGAGGTCTGAACATGGAAAATTTCAGTTGGTTGAATTGTATGAGAACAATTCACTGTGTTTTCAGAGTTTCTCTTTCTGTGATGTTTAGAATGGTGAAGTACAAAGCAGGAGTTGAGGAATATACTGGGATTGAGAATGTATTTAATTAGTGAAAATGCAGAACAGTGCTCTTCAAAATTTGAACAGCAAATGGATTCTGAAGGTTCATTGTTGGCACTGCTTTGGGGGGGCTTTTCTTAGAGACGTGATTGTTGAGGTGGATGCTCAATGGGTATTGTAGTGTCTTGGTGTTGTAAAACCCAATAAGATGATTCCTTTTGGGTTTTGATGCAGCTGAGGGAGCTCAGTGAAGGCAAAATGCCTGCAGACCTTTTGGGTGGAAGGGTGATGTGAGGCCAAGTGACCACTCTGTGACTCTTCTAACTCTAACTTTGTTCATCCCATAAAGAGGTGCTGTGGCAATTACAAGAGGACATGACCTGAAATGGGATTTACAGTAAAGTTTAAAGATGATTTATACATTGTTATGTATAAATCATTATGCAATTATTATGTACACATTATTGTACATAAATATTATGTATAAATTATGTATCACTGGAACTGGGTGGGGAGGCCCTGGCCCAGGTTGGCCAAAGAAGCTGTGGCTGCCCCATCCCTGGAAGTGTTCAAGGCCTGGTTGGACCGGGCTTGGAGCAACCTGGGATAGTGGAAGGTGTCCCTGCCCATGGCAGGGGGTGGAACTGGATGATCTTTAAGGTCCCTGCTAACCCAAATCATTCTGTGATTCTCTGATTATGTACTAAAAATATTTCCTATTATTTATAATAATAACATAATCACCACAATATTAAGACTTTACAGAAAGAGGTGGTTCAGAATCTTCCCAGTCACAGAAGGTGATTTTTTTTTGTCAGCCTTCAGGGAATGAGGGATTAAACTGAAACTTGAGGCTGCTCTGGGGCAGAGAAGTTTAGTATGTGGCTCTTGTTTGGGCAGGGAAGGGAAATGTACTGCAAAATAGTTTGGAGAGTGGATTTCCAAGCTGGCAGTTGCTCACTCGGAATGGATCCCATAATCCTCCCCTGAGCCTGGAAAACGAGCTGCGCTTAAGAGGAAGCTCCTCATTGCACAGCAGGGTCTTACTGAGCAGACAGGACCAAACCCCTCATCTGCTTCTGGATTTACATGAGCTAACCTGGGCTGGCTTTCCACAAGGTATTCCCAGGGCTATGTACACGCAGCTAAATGTTTTTTTTTTCCTTTTCTCCATAGGAAGCCCGTCCAGTCCCAGAACCAGGTCCCAATGGTAGGTCTACAGATGATGCTTCTGTCTGCTTTCTTTACTGATCTCTTGGTTTTCTCATTCTCTTTTGTTACTCCTTGATATTATAAATTTATATATGGATAAAATATTTCAGAGGAAGTATAAAATAATCCGAAAAAGACTGTGTGGCTGAAACAGATAATACTGCTTTTCCAGCTGAAAAGAGGATCTGGAGCAGTCACAGATACATCCCTTTATCTGGCTTTTTCTGCTTCCTGTTCCATCAGTTCATGTATGTCACATTAAATGGCTCTTGGGACATGTCAGATGATCTTATTGCAGGACTAAACATTAATAGGGTGGGCATATGGGCTGATAGAAATTTGATTCACTAACTCTCCAGGGCTGAAACCACAGCTTAGGGAGAAGGAAAAATTAAATGGACTTGCTCTTTTAGTCCTGCTCCAGCAATAGTCACGCCCCTCTTAAATTGTATTGTTTTGTGGACCGTATTTTTTGTTGACATTAGCTTTTTTCTCACCATATTTTAAGCCTTCCTGATTTGTGAGTACATGCGTAGTTTGGTATTTCATGGCTCATGAATGTGTGAATGTGCCGTTCTGGTGTATTTATTTAATGCCAGTAAATTTGGATGTGTCAATACTGGCTTGGCCTTTGCTGTGGGGCCCAGGGCCAGCCAACGTGCTGCTCTCCCAGTGCCCGAGAAGGTGAGTTTTCTACAAGGAGCTTTCCCTGCTGTTCTGGCAGAGGTCCTCCTGCGCATGCATTCCGTCGGGATCTGCGGGTCCGACGTCCACTACTGGCAGCACGGACGGATCGGGGATTTTGTCGTCAAGGACCCCATGGTGTTGGGGCACGAAGCTGCCGGGACTGTCGTCAAAGTGGGCTCAGGGGTGACTCATCTGAAACCAGGTATTTGCAACCAAAACTGTTTGGTTTTCCTGCTATTCAGTTCCCAAAAATGTGTCCATAGCAGGCTGGGCTTCTTTAGGTCACATAAATTTATCTGGGGTTCTGAGGTCACAGCGTGATGTTCTCCTTCACAAAGTGTCACTGTGCTGCTATTAATCACCCAGCTTGGCCACTGTGGTGTATGATATTCCTTAGGTAGCTTTATCCTGGGATATCTCGAGCTTGCCTGGCTGTATTTTAATGCAGAGCAGAGCATATGCCAGTACAAGGTGCCTTTTAAGGAAGCTTGATAAAGCTTCAGAAACCACGTGCGTTGCTCTTGCCAGCAACCTGCTGTTAATGTTTCTTCTGCGTGTGTGTTCTTGAAGTAGCAAAAGGCCTCCTGCAGTGCAGAGAGGTCACTGGAGCAACTGCTCCAGGCCTTGTGATGTGACCTCCACTACTCGCTACGCTCCTGAATGTCCTAGAAAATGGGCTGAGCAGGGAATTTTGCAAAGTTTGCTGATGAGAGCAACTTAGGCGGAGTGGAGAGGATGCAGGAGAGCTAGCAAGAGTTAAGGGACACCCGAGAGGTGCCATTAAGATCCAGGTGAGATTCCATGCAGGTAAACATAAAGTGATGTCCACAACAGAAGAAACAAATCCAGCTTTGTTGCTAAAATGCCCACTGCTGAGGGGTGAGACCTTTGGCTCTGCCACTGAGCGTGGCAGCAGTGCCTCAGCAATGGTGAAAAATGCAAATCACTGTTAGGAAAGGTACAGAGACTCAGTCAGAGGATATCAGTGCCCATCTGGATTCTGTGTGCAGTTCCAGTCTCCTTCTTTCCAAAGGGATGTAAAAGAGGTGAGGACAGAGGAGGACAAGGAGATGATGGGACATGGAGCAGCATCTCTGTGACACATCTAAGTCAGGAACTTTAGCTGGGAGCTGGAGAGACAACTCAAGGATGTGTGGCACATGTCTGAGGACTCATGGAGGGCAGGGAGAGACCACATAAAGCTTTCCTGTTCTCGGATTCCTCCAATACAAGAGCAAGGGACAGTCAGAACCATGTACAGCATCCACTGAGGTGTAGCAGACCAGGTACACAGTGGAAAGAGGAGGAGAAATCGTTCAGTGTTACTAAATACAGACAAACCACATACAACTTGGGAGGCTGGGAGAGCATTCAGAATGTGTGTGTCCTGCTCCTCTCACCCCCAGACATTCCCCAAGGCCATCTGAGAGGCGATGCTGTGGCCTAGATGGCTCTTTGCTTCTGTCCATCCTCCTGCTTGTCACCATGTCTGGCTGAAAGTCTTTGGTGGAGCTTCACTTAGAGATTTGACTCCAATTGGCTTCCTTTTCCAAATAAATGGGCTGGTTTGTGTCCCTTGTGTACTAGCAAACTGTACTGTGGTCACACTATTTCCTCTAGTATGGAGAAAACATAATTGCCTCGTGCTTGCAATTAGATAATCATGGAATCATAGACTGGCCTGGGTTAGAAGGGACCTTAAGGCTCATCTCATTCCACCCCCTTGCCATGGGCAGGGACACCTTTCACTAGACCAGGTTGCCCTGGTCCCTCATGCCTCTCTTGTTCCAGGGTTCCTGTGTTTTTTGGTGCTACTCATACCTGTGTGCCACCCTCTCCCTGACTGACACAGCCTTTCCCTGGCAGGTGACCGTGTGGCCATCGAGCCGGGCGTCCCGAGGGAAATGGATGAGTTCTGCAAAACTGGCCGCTACAACCTGTCCCCAACCATCTTCTTCTGTGCAACCCCCCCCGACGATGGGAACTTGTGCCGCTACTACAAGCACAGTGCCAGCTACTGCTACAAGTTAGTCCGTGCTTGCTCTGCAGGGAAATACACACTCCCTGGGGGAAGCAATCACCTCTTGGCCCTTCTGAGTACTCTTTACATGATCCCAACAGGTTTTGTTGCCTTCTGATCCATAAATAACATGTCTAAGCTTGGATGGCAGCCACTTTGCAAAGGATTTGTCAGGCAGGCGCAGTTTATCCCCTCCGGTGCCAGACATAAACATTTCTTGCATGTCTTCTGGGATGTCACTTCTGCTTTACCCTTTAATTATTTTCCTTTTCCCATTTGCTCTCTGCTCTTAGTTTGTTTTCTGCTGTCTTTTTATATCCTTGCCTTCTTAGGCTGGTGCCTGAAGGTTTTTATCCAGTTCTTTGAGCTGAGCTTTGCTGCTGCTTTTCAGGAAACACCATGGTGACTGCTGACACCTTGCTCTGTCATTTGAAACAAAGTCATCCCACTCGGAGCAGAGCAGGAACAGTAAGCAGTGGCCCTGCTGAGCTGTTTCTCTTGTGTGACTCTGAGTGTCCCCACTAAGCTGCCAGCATTACACATCTGTTTTCATATCCAGTTCAGCAAACCTGAGTATGTTATTAGTTGTGGCAGGACTGACACATTTGCTTAGAAGCAAATTTGTGCTTAAACACTCTGGCAAATCATAGAATCCCAGAATGATTTGGGTTGAAAGGGATCTTAAAGCTCATCTTGTTCCATCCCCCTGCCATGGGCAGGCACACCTTCCACTTATTCAGGTTGCTCAGAGCCCCATCCAGCCTGGCCTTGAACACTTCAGGGATGATGGGGCAGCCATAGCTTCCCTGGGCAACCTGTGCCAGGGCCTCATACACTCTGGAAACCTGAAAAAGCCTCTCCAATGTTATATCCACATAAGTGCCTTTAACAAGGAGTTAAAAACAGCCCAGTTAAAAATAGTGCCCCCTTGAGACTGCTCTACCTGTCCAGCATGTTCTTTCTCAGTCTGTACAGAGCTGGTTCTTCCATGAGCAGGAAGGTCCTTGGGATTGATCCTTGGTGTCTGCACAGGGAGCATTCAGGATTGCAGCAGTCGGAAGGAGGCACTTGACTGCTCTTCTCCTGAGAGTCCTAAGGCAGGAAGCTTTCAAAGCAGATCCCAAGCAGCTGCTGTCAGGATGAGGTGCTGCTCCAGATGGGATTAACGTCTCACTGTGCAGACCCACTGTCACTGATTTCCTGTGTATTAAAATAACATTTTCTGACAACGTCACAAGTTTTTGCGTGGGAGGACATGGCTGGTTTGTAGCCGGCTTCTTCCAGGGTTTTGCTTTTTTTTCCTCCAATTTGAGTAAATATAACTTTGGCTATCTTATTTTATTTTTGAGCTTTGAAATGCAAAGCCTGGACTTGGTGCTCCTGGTTTCAGATCTGCAGAGCTGTGGCTGGCTGATGCCGAGTAGATTCCCTGGCATGAAGCTGCTCTGCCAGCACAGGTTTGCTGGGAACAGCTGATGGGTGAGCTCAGTGGGCTCTCGCGCATTTGGCCAGTTATTGTCTGTCCTGCTGGTGAGCAGACTCTCTGTTGGATGCTCCAAGTAACTTAATGGAGGTGGGATCACACTGTGAACCTGCCCTCCCATTGACAGGGCAGTGCCCAGATCCAGCAGGAGCAAACGTGATGCCAAACTCTGTGACAGATGAACTCTTGCAGTCAGACCTTTAAAGCCTCCTGGAGATAAGGGACATGCAGATATCTTACAGCTGTCTTCCCACAACCATAATTTCCGTTTCTTTGGCTTCGTGTTGTCCTGGCTGAGATTTGACCTTGAGCTTCCCAGGGCTGTCAGAAAAACCCTCCTGGCAGGTACAGCTCCCAGCACCCTCTATGAGGGAGCCCATGCTGGTGGCTCCCTGGTGGGCAGCATTGTGGGGCTGAGATTTATTCTGTCAGCAGTTCAGAAGGGTTTCAATCCCCTCTGCTTTTTTCCATCACTCACACTGGCTGCATGACGGGGCTGTTTCTGTCTGAAGACTGCTGCGAGGGTGTGTGCTGGGACCAGTCCACTGGTTTAAAACACTTGGTGCATCAGGGGAGCAGGTCCCAGGTGTTATGGGGAGACCTGGACCTGGCTGCCTTTCCTGGTGGCATCACCTCTGGCAATCAGACATTTTCTAAAAGTGTGGAGCTGAGTGATCCAACCCAGGTGAGAGGTCTGGGATCTCACTGGTGGGTCCCAGCCATAGGGCAGCCCTTGGGGTGGTGCATGTGCAACTGGGGCGTTTATTCCAAAGGGAATGAGTGGCAAAGGAGTCCTTGGGTTCACTCATCAAGTACTGGAGAGTTGATGTGGGAAAGTTTTTGGGTCCCTGTGTTTGGTGCTTGGGCAAACCTCACTGGTTTAGGTGCACTTGATGCTGCTTTAGAGGAAAAAAACAGGCAATAGAACTTCTTGAAACACATTCCAGCCTGGCGTTTCTCTCACCAAGGGTGAGAGTGGGTTTTGCCACTGTGATTTACACCCATGTTTGGTCTTCAAGTGTCATGGCTTTCCTTATCACCCTCATAAACCTTTTTGGTGACTGTTGCTTGTGTCCCATTCTTGCAGGCTTCCAGATAACGTCACCTTTGAAGAAGGAGCCCTTATCGAGCCCCTGTCAGTGGGAATCCATGCCTGTAAAAGAGCAGGAGTCACTCTGGGAAGCAAAGTCTTCGTGTCTGGCTCTGGTATGGTGAACACATTCAGTCCTTTGATTCCCTGTCTGCTGGGAGAGGATGGGCAGGGCTCAGGTTGAGCTCCTGGGCTCTGCTGTCAGTGGGGGTCATGGCACAGCTCCAGGGTTCCAAGGGGGACCTTGGGGCTGCCAGAGCCTCCTTTAACCCAGGAACATGCAGGGCTCTGGGTTCAGTGTTCAGAGCCTGTGGCTGGTGCTGCCTGACAGTGGTACATGTTCTCTTTCACCCCCTTGTACCCAGGACCAATTGGCCTCGTTAATGTGATTGTTGCTAAGATGATGGGTGCAGCTGCTGTGGTGGTCACAGGTAAGTCCTTGTATCCCTTGTGTGCCTATTTCCCATGATACAACACTTTCACAGAATCACAAAATCATTAAGGTTGGAAAAGACGTCTTAGATCTTTGAGCCCAACCATTAACCCAGCACTGCCAAGCCCAATCGTGTCCATAAGTGCCACATCCACATGTTTTCTGAACACTTCCAGGGACGGTGATCCCACCACTTCCCTGGGCAGCCTGTTCCAATGCCTGACCACTCTTCCAGGGAAGATATTTTTCCCTAATATACAACCTAAACCTCCTCTGGCACAACTTGAGGCCCTTTCCTCTTGTCCTGTCCCTTGTTCCCTGGGAGCAGAGCCTGACCCCCACCTGGCTCCACCCTTCTGTCAGGGAGTTGTAGAGAATGAGAAAGTCCCTCCTGAGCCTCTTTTTCTCCAGGCTGAGCCTCCCAGCTGCCTCAGCTGCTCCTAGTGCTCCAGACCCTTCCCTGGCTCTGTTCCCTTCTCTGGATATGCTCCAGCACTTTGACTAACTCCAAATTATTCCTTCAAGTTTACTGCTGGGGAAGGCAGCCCAGCAAATCTGTTTGTGACTGGAGTAGTAGGATGTGCCTGTCTGGAGGGAATCCTGTTGTTCCCCAGGACAAGACTTAGATCTCTGCCCTAACTGGGATATCCAAGAAGATGCAGTTTGCAACTCCTCTGCTGGGTTAGAGGACCAGGGTCATAACTCCTGATTCCCAGCATGGACAAGTTGTGTGGGTGGAGTAGCCTCAGGGAGAACAATCCAGAATAAAGAAGCAAGCAATGGTCCGTGGATCAGGCTTAAAAACCTTCTTCAGACTTTGAGCAGGTATTTTGGAAGAGTCAATGCATCTGTATGTCAGCTCTGAGTTTTTTCTGTGTGCAGCCACGCTGTGCTTCTCACTTGTCTTTCTCTGCCCTTCTTTCTGCTCCTGTTGGGGGTTTCATTTTCCACTGGTTATCCACATAGACTGAAATGGCCTTTTCAGAGTCCCTGCATTTCAGAAATGGGCCTTCCTTGCGCAACTGAGGTTTCTGGTCCAGCTGCTGCTTACAGCAATGTCTTTGTCTAGCTGCATCTGGAAAACCTCTGAGGAAGGAGATCCCACCTTTCAAGGTCCCTACTCAAAGTTTGCACCACCTCTTAACGAAGAAGCTTTTTCTGGGGTCCACTCACAAACTGTCATTTGTGGGGATTTACCCTTGTCTGCAAGAGCTGAAACGAGTTTTCATCACCTTTGTAGCTGCCCTTCAGGTTGTTGCAGAGCTGTTCCGTCTCCCCTTTTTATCCCATGCTAAGCCAGCCCAGCTGCCTCCACTTCTCCAGGGTTCAGTCTCTCTCTCTGTAGCTTGCCCAAAAGAAGGGAGAGCTGGAGAAACCTCAGGATGTTCACTGGTTGAAATCTCCACCTGGGGTTTGAGCAGGGCCTGCAAGTGGTGTCTCCAGCTCTCACTGAGACTCCCTGATCTTTCTGAGTGGTGATGGCCAGGAGGAGCAGTTACAGGTGCCACTGGTCAATGAGCAAGGGTTGCTGCAGTGCTTTTGGGTCAAAACCCCAACCTGGACCTGTCAGAAGGCTGCTACTCACCTCCCATTCTTAGGGCCAGGTGTATAATTGACCTCTCGACTACTGTGTTTCCATCTTTGGGTTGAGAGATAAAATTCAGGTCCCACCCTCTTGCCTTTGCAGAAACATCCTTCAGTAGTAGCTCAGGTCAAAAACCAAGGCGGATTATTGCCTTCTCCTCCCTTAATCCTCTTGCTGCCAAGTCCAGGGCATTTTTAGTTCTGCTGGCCTCACCCTGAAGGTGTGTGTTGCTTGATGGACGGGATCAGTCCACACCTCAGATTTTGTGAAGTCTTGTCATTAGTGGATGGTGTTTGCTGTAGCAGGAAAAACAGCTCTGCTCCTGAATCACACACGAGGAACTTTGCTGCCCAGCTGGGCTGGTGCAGGGGCTGGGGGTGACCCCGTTCCTGGGTGGGGAAGGGCTTGGTGAGCTGGCAGGGGTTGGTGGGGCTGAGGCAGCTGGCTCAGCCTGTCACCCCATTCCCACTCCTGCCTGAGTGTATCTTCCCTGTAACTCTGGGAGCTGCTGCTGCCTCTGCCCATAGGCTGCTGCTGGGGGCCCTGGGTGAGCTGCTCTGTGTATCATGTGCCACAGGACTCCAAGTGGCCACAGGAAGTTCCTGGTGCCTGGTTTGTAGGGTCAGTAGGCTTGGATACATGGAATTACCCCTTATCTCTGTGTACTGGCCTAGATATTGATTGTGACTCGTAGACATCTCCCACACAAGAGGGGTTTGGCTGAGATGTTGAGAGACACCCGTGGAGGTGCTGTCCCTAGTCAATTATTTGTGTGTGATATGAGCTGAGGAGTGGGTTTGGTTTGGCTTATTGCCCCTTGGGATTTTGCTGCCCTTCTCAGAGAATTGCTTTTTGTGTCAGCTTTAGGAGCCAACACCTGTGAGATGCCTGTCTGCCCACAAAGGACCTCTTGTACTTTGCAATCAGATTCTTTGAATTCATTACCCGGAATTCTTATGATGTGTTTGTCTGTGAAGAGCTTTGTCTGTGCAGCACTTAAGGATTTAAATGTTTGTGTTTGTTTTGACAAGCTGCTCACAAATACAGAAATATTTAGAAATATTTAGAAAAGCTTTTTCCTCGCCTGGGGAGAACTCATCTCCTATAGCTTCTGTCTGGCTCACCTGGAGTGATTGATGTATTTAGCAGGCTCCAGCTGGGTGAGAAGATCAATTTGTTTCCTGGGTCCTCATCTACTCTTCACAAAGGTCTATGTCTTTCTCCACTCCACTGCTGAGTGGATGTGATTGATATTTCTGTACAACCTTCTCCTGTCCTTCTGCCTTGCTGTTGCTCTGAAAAGCTGCTTTTCTCCCTAGAAACACATATAAGTTCAGCCTTACTCCCCATCAAGTGAAGAGACAGTTTAGGTGTTCGTATGGCAGTGTTGGGCTCTCTTGCCTTGCTCTGTCTGTCACTAAAGTTGCATTTAGTAATTCCTATGTAAGGGAAATTATTCCTCTTGTGCTATCTGAATCCTAAGTTCTGGGTGTCAGTGCCTCCAGAAACCCTGGAAGTCAAGGTCAGGGAGGATGAATAACTGTCCAGAGCTCAGCTGCTTTGAGAAAGAAGATTAACACAGAAAGTGTGAGAGCTTCAAGAATATTTACCTGTCAAATTGGCTCATAAACCATTATGAGAAGCTTAAAGGTAATTTGATAACTTATTTGGAAGCAGAGACACAGGACTACTCTTGTTCTGGCAGCCAAAACTTTAATTAGCTACAGTGGCCAGGAAGTGAAAACAGATTTCTCACTAGAGGCAAGATGCAACCCTGTAATTGTATAATGGACCATTTTCGCAAGACTTTTGTGGGGTTTGGCCTCAGTAAGGTTTGAAATTCAAACGACTTGGTCCCTCCCAAGACTCACAAGTGTCTGGAGCTCCAAACAAACCAGTAACCTGCAGATCTGTCTGCTTCAGGAAGTGCTTCATGCTGATTCACTTAGGCCAGAGATATTACTGCAGCCCTGAGCAGGGCTGATGGTATTTGCTGCCATGTCCCATGTGCCTCTCTGAGCCAGGACTTCCTTCCTGAGCAGGTCAGCAAACCAGAGGCCAACTACAGCAACGGTGGAGGCGGAGGGGGGCTTTTTTTGTTGCCCGAGAGTGATTTTTTTGGCCACTTTGAAACACACTGGCTGTCCTGTCACTCCAGGACAAAGTCTCTGGATTATTTCTGCCAGAGAGGCAGTTTAAAATACCTTAGTCACTGGGCAGATACTAAAAATGGCTGAGTCCAGCTGTGTCTGCTGTGAGCCGGTGTGAGACCAAACTTCAGGAGGAGTTGGGTCCATTGCTGGGAGCCCTGTTGAGCCTTGTGGTCTCCTTGGCATAGACAGATTTGGGATACAACAACCATGCTGGGCAGAAGTGTTTCTTATTACTTCAGGTGCCTCCAAAAGTCCCTGCCCATGCTCTTGGAGCACAGGAGGTCTCTGAGTGCAGCTCAGCTGGGGTCAAGCATGACCATACATGGCCTGGAGCCCAATGCCCAGAGCTTGGGAGGGACAGACCTGACTAATCCTCCTGCAGCCACAGGAATGAGAGCCCACATTGAGGCTTCCAGGGTGATGCTGCCCTTACTTTTCAGCCTTAGCTTTTCCTCTTTCATCTACATTTCATTACCCTTTGTTATCCCTTCTTGAAACTCCCTCCACAGCTTTTCTGGGTGCTCATCTCAGTGGGTGTGGCCACACCTGGCATCCCAAGCCCTCCCACTGCCCGTAGGGTCTTGTCCATCACCTGCCCTGCCAGTGAGTCCCATCCTGTTCCCTGTGTGATGGGCAGGCAGAGCCTCTGGTCCAGCTCCCTCCCAGCACGTGGCTGAGTCAGAGGGGTTCATGTCAGAGCACTGGCCTCAACCTCCTTTCCTTTTCCCTTGATATTTTCACCCCATCCCATCTCTGACTTCTCTGAAGACTGTGCCCTGGTGAGAGGGGTGTCTTGCACCTTGCTGTGTGTCCTGGAGAGGAGTGTGCCTGTGGCAAAGGCATCGATTTCTGAGTCTTCAAGCTCAGGACCCCTGGGAGGAGACACTGTTCACCCCTCAGTTTTGGGTCTAGGAAATCTTGGCTGTTACAGCTCTTGATTCAGCCATCTTTTCCAGTGCCAGCCTGCAGACCCCTGTAGACTACTGCTTTAGTGCAGGGCAAAAAGGTTGTTGACCTGGGAAATGCCACTCTTCTCCTTGGCTGTTCACATCCTTATCTCCAGAGATGTCCTGGTCACCACTGGTGCCTGCAGAGGGGTGGGTGGCTTCTTTCCATAGGATGTGGAAAAGCAGAGACAGTGTGGCTACCTGACAGGGCAGCTTGCTCCATGGTACAAACCATCCTGTGGATCTTCAGAAGGTATTTACAGTGCTGTCAAGAACCCTCAGGACAGAGTACTGGAATTGAGCCACGCCCTCACAGATGTTTATCATCACCAGCTTTGTTGCTCTGTCTTAATGGGGTGTCTGAAGTCCACCCTATTACCAGATCCACTCCCTTTTTATTTTATGGGCTTGTCTGTTCGTTCACCTCTGACAGAAACTGTCTGAGAGACACTCAGCAGTCTCCAGTGCTGTTACCAGGAGGGTAAAGGAGTGGGAGATGTCTGTGGCAGCAGGGACATGTACTGTTGACAACTGATGCTTTGTGCAGTTCACTCAGCCAAAAGCACCAGCTGAGAGTTCACTGAGGAAGCCTTCAGAGACTTCATGGTCTGCTCTCATCTGGTGCCACATTAATGATCCTCTGAGCCCGAAGTCTCCTGTGAAAAGGCTTCTTGGTGCTATGCTGTCCATACCCAGGTGATTTCTGGGCCATCAAGGAGCAAGGTCAGAGCAACCTTGCTCCTGGTTCGTGCCCCTTGGGAAGCATCCTTGAGGGTGGGAGTAAATAATGTGAAGAGCCAGGGAAGGAAAATGCAAGAGTGGTGTTTTTTTTCCTCATTGTGGACTCTTCCCTGGGCTAACTCACTGAGTAGGTGTGTAACAGAGTTTCTTACAGTCCATTTCACTACTGGATGAAGGTCCTGCCTGAACTAGTGAAGCTGCTTCATCAGAGTCATTGCCAGAGAGACACTGAGCAGTGCAGCCAGAGCCAGAGGCAGCTTTAGGTGGGTCACAGCCTGCTCTGGAGCGAGTGCCCTGTCTGTCCTGGCCTCCTACTGCCTTTTGCCTTTGCCTGCACTGAGGTTACTCTGCTCTGCAGTGTTGGGACAGCAACCATGGCAACCATGACAGCTCAGCCATGGCTGCTCCTGCTCTGGTTCCTTTTTGTGGTATCTCTACCCATGCCCTTGGGAGTTAAGCTTGGCCTTCTAGTTTGTCTTGGCACTACTGGTGTTCATGCAGTACCAAAGAGAAACTGGGACAACTACAAAATGATCATTTTAGAAGTCACTCCTCCAGTCTAGTGGTGGCATCTGTTCCTTCACTCAGACATTGCTCTGCATGGTGTGAGTTTTGTCTGTGGGTTTGTGCTTTAGTCTCTTTGAAGCACACCCTCTTCTGCAGCTGGAGAGCCTTTGGCATCTGCAGCTGGAGAGCCTTTGGCATCTCCCGTGTCTTAAAGTTGTCCTCACTGCTCATCCTTCATCGTCCTCATCATCTGGGACCACCCAGCACCTGTTAGAGGAAAGGAGGGGCATGAAGATGGTCAAGTGGGAGGGCTGGAGCCCTTCTGCTCTGTAGACAGGCTTGGAGAGCTCATGCTGTTCAGCCTGGAGAAGAGAAGGCTCTAGGGAGACCTTAGAGCCTCTTTCAGTGATAAAGGGGCTCCAAGATAGCTGGAGAGGGACTTTGAACAAGGATCCAGAGTGATAGGACAAGGGAGTATGGCTTCCCACTGTCAGAGGGCAGGGTTAGATGGGATATTGGGAAAGAATTCTTCCCTGTGAGGGTGGGGAGGCCCTGTGGCACAAGTTGTCCAGAGAAGCTGTGGCTGCCCCATCCCTGGAAGTGTTCAAGGCCAGGTTGGATCGGGCTTGGAGCAACCTGGTCTAGTTGAAGGTGCCCCTGCCCACGGCACAGGAGGGAACTGGATTTGCTTTAAAGTCCCTTCCAACCCAAACTAGTCTGTGATTTCATGATCCTTCTCTGCCTGCCCAGAAGGAGTGAACACAGACCCTTCCCTCTCTTGGTTATGCTGCCCTGTGCACACATGCAGGAAGCAGTTTCCAGACTCAGGTTGCTCCTCCCCTTCTGTTTCATACAGTGCTCCAGCTCTTGACTTGTTTTGCTTTTCCCCAGATTTATCTGCCTCTCGCCTACAAAAGGCCAAGGAGGTGGGGGCAGATTTTACCATTCAAGTGAAGAACGAGACCCCTCAGGAGGTGGCCTCCAAAGTGGAAGGTGTGCTTGGCTGCATGCCCGACATCACTGTGGAGTGCACAGGGGTGCAGGCCTGCATCCAGGCTGGCATTTATGTGAGTACCACTTGTCCCCAAGGCAGAGCAGGGATGGCATTGATCTGGTTTTGTCTGGGATGCTGCAGTGAATGAGTTATTTCACTCTCACTGTGTTTAATTTCACTGGGCTTGGTGTGGGGAGAGAAGGTGCTCATTAGACAGCAAAAGAAGAGAGGCAATTAAAGAGTTAACGTTGGCATGGGGATAATTGATAATTAATTTGATGCTCAGGTGCTAAACCACTTCCCAAAGAGTCCTCAATAAGACCCCAAAACCCAAGCATGACTGTGCAGCAGTATCAGGCAGCTGGTACGAGCAGAACATCACCTTCTGTTAAGTCGAAGTTATATCCAAATAAGGAGAATAATCAAGAAAATTAATTCCAGAAGGTGAAGGAAGCAGTTAAGGAAGTGATGTTTTGCTGCCATGAACATATTAAGAAGAGAATGGGGTGAAGGTAGTGGAGAGTTTCACAGGGAAAAACAAGGAGGGGAATGGGACAAGTGGCAAAAAGAGAAATTCCAGTGAAGCACCAGGCTTAGTTTTAAATCTTTCCTATTGAAATCCCAAAGCACTCTTTGTAGTCCTAAATGCCAGCCATTTTTCAGAATGAGATTTAGATACCAGAATCCTTTGGAGATTTTCAAAAGATTGCATTTTTAGCCTTGAATACTGTGTGTTTCACTCTTACAGGCTCCTGACAGCATCCTGCCTCTCCCCTGGCTTCTCCATCATTCACTGCAGCCACAAAGTGTGCCTTTATTTTTGACAGACCCTGCACGGGCTCCAGCAGCTGCGTTCTGCAAAGTGTAACGTTTGTGTTTTTGCTCTCCAGGCCACTCGTTCTGGTGGGACCTTGGTGCTGGTGGGGCTGGGGCCTGAGATGGTGACGGTGCCCATTGTGAATGCTGCCGTGCGGGAGGTGGATATCCGGGGGATATTCCGCTACTGCAACACGTGAGTCTCATGCAGGGGGGGGCTTGTGTGTCTCCAAGCCCATCAGAGCTATAGTTTCTTACCAGTGGAGCAAGAATCTTTGCTTGATCTGTAGCTCTCAAGGAAGGGTTTATGGGATGTTGTCAAGCTCCGTCTTAAAATGAGAAATGTCTTTAAGTAGGTAATTTGGGAATTAGATTAGGTGCTGCACCCCTTTGTAACCCTATTGCTCTAACTTGGCCCATTCCTAGTTGGACTCCATGATTGTGGTTGGACTTGATGATCTTTGGAGGTCTTTTCCAACCTCGATGATTCTATGATTCTAAGTGGAGCAGCAATGCAATCCAATTGAAGAGGCTGGAAGCTGAATGAGGCTTTTCCTTTCCTCTCCTGCACTGAGTCCGTGAGTTTGAGCTCCACAGTGGTCAGTGTGCAAGCGAGGAGGCCAGGTGAGGGGAGAGCGGAGCATGGCAGTTTGGTTTTCATTTGATGCTTCCAAAGAAGTTGTTTCCTTGATTTTTCACTTGCTTCCTACTTAGCCAACTGTCTGGGAAGCAGGGCCTGCCTCCTCAGTGCTCAACAGCCCAGCTCAGTTGGCTTGTCCCATTCTCCCATGCTGGATGCTTGAGATTCCCTCTCCAGAAGATCCTTTGCGGGCAAAAGTCCCCTTGGCTGCCTGGGCTGAGGAAATAGCTGCAGTGAATCAGGCTTCTCCCTGCTCTTTCCTTGGGCTCCAAAGCAGTGCTTGCTCTCATCCCCTGCTGTTTCCCTTGCAGGTGGCCCGTGGCCATTGCTCTGCTCGCATCCAAGCGGATCAACATCAAGCCCTTGGTTACGCACCGCTTCCCCCTGGAGAAGGCTCTGGAGGCGTTTGAGACCACCAAGAGGGGTGAGGGGGTCAAAGTCATGCTGAAGTGTGACCCCACTGACCAGAGTCCCTGAGCTGCTGCAGTGCCCAGCCCTCACCCCACTGCACCGGCCTGCCTGGGACGCGCAGGATGAGGCTGCAGGAAGGAGGCTGATGTGGGGCTGTTGTGTGTTTGCAGTCACCTTGCACAGCTGCTTCTTGTAACTAGAAAATCAAATGGTGATGAGGGTGAGTGGCACTGGGATTCACCATTAGAGCACTAACAGGTAGCTACAAATGGACAACCAATAGTTTGAATCAAAATGTTGGGTTAGAAATGAGGGTTTTCTCAGTTGGCTCTTCTCCTGCAGCCCCCCAGCAGAGCCTGGCTTGATGCCTCTGTGCTGGGGGAGGTACTGGCACTCCACCTTCTCACCCTGCACTGCTCTGGCTGCAGCCCTTCCTGCATGACAATCCCTGGATGTGAGATAGCCCTGTGTGAATATTCCCCCTTCCCATTGCACCCCTCAGGGATGCTCAGGGATTGTACAGCCTGTGGAACAAAGCCTGGCCATCCCCCCTCCATAGGAAGCATCAGCACATTCAGGTCATTCTCTCCATGCTCTTTGCAAATATCCCAAAGCTCAGAGTCCAGGGTTTTTGTGAAGCTGGTCTGGAGGCCAGCTGGGACCACATCTGCTGTGTCACCCCCCAGCAGCTCCTTGTGGGACCACTTCAGGCTGGGAAACTGGGACTGCTGAGGGCCTTGTCCTTATGTGGTTCCCAGGGAGGGGCTGCTGTTGGAGGATACAGCTGCTTTTAGCACAGAGGGAAGTGCAGGGGAGCCATAAGGGGACAGCATCATTCAAAGGTTTTACCACTGTGAACAAATCATAATTTTTTGGGAATATTGAGCCTTCCTGCTGAGTTTGTGAGCCATGAGCAAGGTACTAATGAGGTAGCAGGTTGCAGATAAAATCTAATCTTTGATTACAGTCATGTTAATTTTAGTACTGAGAGATCAGTTCCTTCCTTGGGCCGGTACTGAATTTTCCTCAATAAATTCTGCCTACCTGAGACTTACCTGGTGTGTCCCTTAAAGTGTGGGGTGACAGTGTTGGAGGAGTTTCTGACTTTGGGCCTTGGTGACTGTGCAGACCTGGGCCGTGCCAGGCTGCAGGTTGAGCTCGGTGTTGGCAAGACTGTGAGACCTCAAATGACCCAACAACTTGCAAATCAAAGCTTATGTTTATTCCAGAGGTGGCCAAATTAATCCTGGCAGAAGTGGAAGCCCCCAACTCCATGCTGAGTTTTATATGGATGATACATAATCCAGGGGAACTTTCTGTAGCCAGAAGAAGTGGCCAAAGTATGTGCTCAGCACATTCCAGTGCTGGGGGGATCCCCACTGGCATGGCTGGGGGACCATTGGCCATCCTGACTCCCATGCTGGAGGGAGCCCCATAGTCAACCTGGGGGACAAGTGGCCATCACAACACTCTGTAATTACTGGGAAATGGAAGCTTGCTCCCTGTGCTCTTGGGACACTATTTAACATCTGGAGGGCTGGAGCTATTCCCACGGCTCAGCCTGTTTGGACTCCTTGGCTAATTGGCTCCCATGCCTGGTCTTGCTGGGGTCATGGCCACTGCAGGGGTATTGTGGGGTGTGATGGGTCTGGGGAGGCACAGTCTGGGGGGCTGTGTCTGTATCCCCCACCTCTGACCCCACGTACATCACCAGTGCAGGGGACACTCGCTCCAGCTTAACCCATTTCCCAGTGAGCTGGAGTTAATGCTCTCTGCCAGGAGCAAGGTCAGCACTATGCCGTGAGTATGGAAAACCTCCAGAGGACCAAGAACCAACTACAAGAGGCAAGAAAGTGTTTTAGTACTTTGAACAGCTTTATTTAAGCTCAACCACAGCCTGCAAGAGAGGCAGTAACGCAAAGCCAGCCATTACTTAAAAAAGCACAGGTGATCCCTGATTGAAGGGATGCTGCTGAAAGAAGCCAATGCAAACACAACTAAGGCCCTTTGCAAACCCAGAAAAGGCTCAGAGAGTTAACAAGCAGGCACCCACAAGTGTATTAGGAAAGCTGAGCCTGTTTCAAGGAGAGAGATGGTGGGAAGCTCTTTGGCTCCTCACCCCATGTGTGCTCCACATTGGTCTTGGGGCAAAGTGCTTTGGATTCAGGTTGTGCAGGCACCAAGCTGTTCCCCAAAGCTGGGCAGAGACATTCCCTGAGTCCCACAGCAGAGCACAAGCTCTGTGTTGTAGGATTAATGTAGCAGAACTGGGCTTACCTCAAACACTGTGGTTTTTTGATTGGGACATGCCAGCCCAACCCTGGGCATGGGGCTGCAGCAGTGTGTGGATGGTATTAGTATGCCCTGGGCTCAGGGGTTCACACTGGGGCTGTGTGGGGTGATGATGGGATGGCAGTGCTTTACTGGCACACCAGTCTCAGCTCTGCAGGTCTCAGTGTCCCTGCTCTCGGCCATGGATGGCTTTCTCTGGGGCGTGATGGTGAGTGGGAGCCCAGGACCATGGCCACCCACTGCATTGCTGCCCAGGTGCTGGGATGGACCAGACTGCAGCCCAGGGTAAAAAGCATGGGGTAGGGTCAGAAATTCTCATAGTGATGTGCAAAGTAGGTCTGGTCCTTCTTGTTCATCTGCCGACAAGCCTGTTCCACACTCTTTGTCATCCCAGGTGGGCCACAGCTGAACACCCCAATCTTCTGCACCTGGGAAGGGGGAAGCCAAAGGGGTCAGACCGAGGAACACCAGCTCTCCCTGCAGTCCACCCCCCCTTGGCCCCTTGCCCTCTGACAGCTTTGGGCATGGACTGTGGCCGTGCTCTCTGTCCCAGCCTCTGGAGGCTTTTGGGGAGACTGTCATTTCTGTGAGGGCTGTTAAATCTGTGGTGGCTATGGAGGCTGTGAGGGCAGTGGAGGAAGGATGAGAGTCCCAAGATCTGGTTGCACCCAGGGTCCTGCAATAGCAGGGGGTGTTTGGCTATCATGGGAAACTGCTGACTCTTGCAGCTCAACCTGGCTCCAGAGGGAAAGCAGGATCCATGTCCCTTCTGCCCTGTCCTTGGTGCAGATGCCACCAAGCTCTCCAGGACCTTGGGGACAAGCTGGGACCAGTCCTCCACTGGCCAGTGGGTGCACCTTCTCCTGTGCCCCATCCCCAGCCAGGCACTGACCTCAGGGTGCACCTCCTGCAGCGAGTTGAAGAAGGGTACGAAGGGAGGGCGCCCAAAGTGGGTGATGGAGCGCAGCCCCGTGAACAGGCTCTTGTTGAGCACCTTCTGGAAGTGCCGCTCGCAGATGTACTGGAAGAGAGATCGGTGCACGTCAGATGGCCCTGCACGGCCTGGCGTGGCCTGGCACGGCACAGCAGCCTCTCTGGTGGGGGGCAAGGCTCACCAGCATGGTGGTGCGCAGATCGAACTTCTCGGCCAGCTGCGTGATATAGATGTGCACAGAGACCAAGTTGTTCCTGTCTGACTCTTCCACCTCCCGGATGATGTCTGTCAGCCACTCAAACTGCCGCTGCGTGCGTGTCACCCAGATGAAGTAGATCTGTGGCATGTGAGGATGAGGCTCAGAGTGGGGCCAGCACCCTTTTGCAAGTCCGTGGGCTCCCTGGAGGATTTTACCCCCAAAGAGGCCAGAAGCAGCAGGAGGCATCTTAGGAGGGCTTGTCTTTCAGATGCTTCCTCTTACCTTCTTACACAGCAGCTTGGAGTTTATGGATGACTTGAAGACCAGGTCTTTGAGGATGGATGCGAAGGGTGTCACCCCAATGCCTCCTCCCACCAGCACTGACACCTCAAATTTGTTCCACTCCTGGTGGCCCTCCCCGAAGGGCCCGTCCAGGTAGAGCTGGAAGGGAGTCAGCCATTAGCAGAGCATCTCCCATCTCTGCTTGCCCAGGTCTTGGTTGCCCTCAGGGCTGGAGAAGCACCTCAGGCTTGGCACAACCCCTTGCTGAGATGCTCTTGGGCTCAGATGTCCCTGTGCGTGACATCCTGTGAAGGGCTCACCTTGGGCAGCTTGCCGATGAGGGCCAGGCTCTCTGGGGAGTAGAGCTCCCGCAGGCGGGTGGTCCAGGGCCCCACGGCACGGATGTGCAGGCTCAGCGTGTCCTCGTGTGGCGCCGAGGTGAGGGTGAAGGGGTGGTACTCCGTGGTGCCCAGGGCCACGCAGGCGATGCGCACCCACTGCCCGGACTTGTAGTCAAAGTCCTGCGGCCGCTGGAACTGGAGGTGGGTGACACCTGTGGGGAGACGGGGATGGTGGCTCTGGTAAGGTGGAGATGTTGAGAGATGGAGGCTCCTGCATTGCTGCAACCCCTGATGCTCTTGCAAAGAGCCTGGGCTGGGCTGGTGCCCTGTGGCCAGGGATGTCGTGGTACCTGAGGGCAGGAGCTCGGCTTTCACCACGCTGATCTCCACCTTCTTCCTGCTCAGGCTGAGCAGCTTGTCTGCACTGTAGATGAGAGCCGGGACGATGAAGTAGATGTAGAAACGGGGCTGCTGGATCAGCGCATAGCTGCCATGGATGATGACCTGGGCAGGGAGCAGAACCCATTAACAGGGCAAGCCATTGCCCCAGGGCTAATCTGGTGGCAGCTGAGCAGCAGCAGGAAGGCAGGAGTGGGGCCACCAGCTCCCTTGCAACCATGCCATCTATTCCATCTCATCAGCTGCACTGACTGAAGCCACAGGCTTGCAGTGCATCGGCACCACCCCTCCCTCCCAGCCCAAATCCTTTACCAGGACATAGAGCAGCACATAGAGGTGGTGGGTGATCCAGAAGCCCTGGAAGCTGACGCGTCGGAAGTGGTAGGTGGCGAACACATACATCACAGCAAGGACCACAAGCAGCAACACTCCTGTCATACCTGTGAGAGGAAAGGTTGGAAGGTCATAGGAGGAACAAAGCAGTCCCATAGGTGCTCTCCCTGGGCTGGGCAGAGAGCTGCCCATCCACAAAAAGGTGTGCAGGTCTATCTGCTAGGTGTTCTCACCTGGAACAGTCTGGAAGAACCACCAGTAATACTTCTGTGGGAGCTGTGACCTGAAGAGGGACAAGAGATTGCACCATGGAGTGACCAGAATGAACTCTTGGTTTCCATTTTCATTCCTATCCATGCCCAGGACACTCTGTCTGGACTCTGCTCTAAATCCCACCTACCCATCATTTGTGAAGACATTGGAGAAGAGGCAGGACAGCACGCTGAGAGGTGTGACTGAGAAGATATAGACATTCACTACATGACCTGCAGTGTGGAGCACTGTGAGAGACAAAAATAGGGAGAAAGAAGCATCATTTGACGTGGATGGAGATGTGTCAGATCCTGTTGATGTCCCCAGGGACCCGGAGATTCCTCCTCGTCTCTAGTGCAGCCCATCTATGTCTCCACAGGGTCTTCAAGCTTCTGCCTGGTCCTGCCATGGTGTGATGGGCTGGCCCTTTTGCTTTAGCTGTGGTTTGTGGGCGGCACATCCCCCAGCAGCCCACCCACCTGAGAAAATCAGGGCTGCCATGGCAATCCAGCGGTGGAAATCGACGGCGGCATCGAAGGGGATGTAGTGGTTGAGGAAGGTCTCCCGCAGGACGGTGATGAGGTTGCGGCACATGGTAAGCAGGATGTAGGAGTACAGGAAGGAGATGGAGGCAGCTGCTCCCCGGGAGATGATGATCCCCACAAAGGTGGTCTGTGCAATTCCAGTGCTGGGGGATGCAAAGGCATAGTCTGGGGAGAGAGAGCAGAGGGAGTCAGTGTCCCCAGCCATGACCTTTCTTGCAACAAGGGGGCGACCACCTCTGTGGCTTCACCAAAAAGAGGTTCCCAGGGATAGGTTTGTGTGGGAAAAGGGGCATGACCCCCCAGAACTGCTGGGTGAAAGGGTATCCTTGGAGATCCAGGGAGGGGATTGTCCTCCTCTGGTGGGCACTGGGATACTGCACCTTGGGAACTGTGGCCTCAGTTGGGGAATCCAATATAAGAGGTCTCCACAAACTGAAAGAGAATCCAGTTTAGGCCACTAGGATGGGTGAGGGCTGGA